CAATCACTGGCCACCTGGTTGAACTCAATCTTCAACTCCCTTCCTGTCCCCAGAGGCTGAACTGGTTCAAAGCCTCTAATCACATTATTTCATCTTTCTAGTGACCAGCCCCCTTCCTAAATCATGTCTTCTCATTAGCATAAGCTCAGGTATAATCCAAGGAGCTCATAAACAACAGACTCTACTGTTACTTCAAGAATCCCAAAGATTTAGAGTCTTCCTCCCAGGAACCTGGAATAAAGGGCAAATTCTTTATTATTCAGCAGACTGAAATGCACATTTAACATGGGAATGAGGTAGTCACAGGTGACTTTGGAAAGAATGGTCAGAGGAAAAAGTAGCCAGACTGCTACGATTTATAACATAGATTAGGGGTATGGAAGGTGAGAAATGTGTAAGAAGTCGATCACCAACAAGAGCATAAAATGACTAGAGGTGATGGAGTACAAAGCTGAGGTAAGAAAGATGTACAAGTAACTTAGAAAATGCCTTCTCCCACCAGGAGCAATACTTAGGAGGTTCCTTTGCTGATATAGTCTCATTTGAGTTATCCTATTGTTAGTGTTCTTAGAGTCAAAGTAATATTTAACCTGTTGGTCCTTCTTAAAATTATTCTCACTTACCTTTGATTTCTCCACATTCCAATTTATTTTACTCTTTCCAACATTTCCCTTATAACAAAGTCTTCATTGCCACTTCTTTATCTGACTTAATTATGCAGAAATATACAAGTCATTCTGACTTAGAAAAGATTATGGACCTCTAATTTTGGTAATATGATAGACCAGGTATCTTGAAACACCTCTTTCACTAAAAAAAAAATAATAATAATAGTATAGGAGAGAATTTTACAAACAGCCTTTTAAGAGTATGTCTGGACTCAACCAATCACCTAAGAGTAAAACAACCTGATAGCTAGAAATTAGAGAAATAAGATGGCAAAGATGCTTTCAGTTAAAAAGAGGCTTTAGTTTTAACAGATGAGAAGAATGAGGACTAAGACCTTGAGGGTGTGCTACTTGGTTATAACTGTAATTTCCACACTAAGCCCCATAAAAGGGAAAGTCCCTCATTTAGGTAGTTAGGGCAAGGGAGGAGAGACAAGTGAAGGAAAACAGCAAGCAAAATTATCTTTGCTTGGGATCTCAAAGGGCAGGGACAGTTTTCCCTGAGAAGTTATAACAATAAAGCTTGGCTTCATGTGAGTTTAGAGTTTCATTTAACATTACCACAGAATCTATAAAACTTCAAGCCAAGAATTAATGTAAAGTTGTTCCAAGTTAGTGAAGCCCTTAGGATCCCTGGCAGAAGGAATAAAAATCCATGCCTCAGAAACACACCCTTATCCCATGTTCACAGAACTCCTGATGATAAACTCTTGCCAAACATGGGCTTACAATCCAAATTATAAAACAAAGGAGGAAACAAATTATGAACAAAAGTAAACAGAAATGAAGAGTTAGTGAATTAAGCTACCAAGAAGTACTATTGGCTATAGTGTATAAAGTATTATGTTCAGAGCTTAAAAGGCAAAAGAATTAAAAAACAGAAAGGAGATTAATCATACATTATAAGGGACAAAATGGGACTCCAAATAATTTCAAAATGTTGGTTTTAAAAGTCCTTAAACAGGATATTAGACAGAGCTAAAAAAAATGAGAAATTGGAAACAAGTTACCTAGGATGCAGCATACAAAAACAGCAATATGAAAGAGAACTTAGGACACATGAAGACTGGATAAGAGTGTATCATACGTACAGTATACATAAGGTGAGGGGAAAAGAGTTGTCAGGACCAGAAATGAGACAGAATCAATATTCAAATTAGATAATTATTCAGATTTTTCTAGAGTAAAAATATGAATCAACTTTCATAAAGGACAATAGATCCAAAGCAAGGGAAAAAGTCTATATAGACACATCAGAGAGACTAAACACATAGGAAAAATAAATTATCTCAAAAGCATTCAGAGAGAAAAGGAAAATTACTTTCAAAGGAATACAATTAGGTTGGTTAGACTTCTCAAAAGCAGCATAAAAGCCAGGAGTCAGTGACATAACCTGATTTCAAAATAGTGAGGGTGGGGGAAAGAATTGTAGACTTAGAATTCTATACCCAGAAAAACTATCATCATTAATGTAAGACAGATATAATCCTGATGGAATTTGGTCCCGACCTTATGGAAGCCATCTTGCCTCCCTGTAGGGCCTGACAATGTAATATAGGCAAAAAGTAAAACTGGGCCCTTGTGACACTTTTGAGCTCTACAACCTTAATTGCCAGTCTTAATCGCGGACATCTGAGTCTCTTGAGGCATTCTCTTTACCAGTTTAAGTTTTTTTAATTAAGCAAAATGGAACATAAATTAAAACAGTTATTGTTAGCATACATAACCCACCCCTCCCTAAAGATAATCACAGTGTAGCTTGTTCAGAAAATGTGTCTGAAAGGGACCTTTAGGTAGAACCTGAAAATTAATACCTGTGAAGAAAAATCATCAGTTAAGGAGTCTGTAGAAAACTAAGATAACAAAAGGCAATGAGTTAAAAGGAGGCATGGAAAACTGTCTGAACACTGTGTGACTGTGTTTATGTTGTTATGATTGTAAGTCAGTACAGTGTGAGAGAACTGGCAGGACATAGTGCCTGTAGTTAACTGAGAATACTGGGACACTATCCTAATTGTTTTAAGAAAATTTAAAATAAACCAAAGAGGTTACAGGATGTCTGCAATGGACAACTACATGACTAATAGCAGACTCTTCCAGATTAGCTGAATCTAGCCTTGGGCTCTTTTACAACTTTCAAAGCTGTAGATAACCAATAGCAATGCAAAACAATTCTTACCTATAAACATGCAAATAAATTATGTCTACTGGAGTTTCAATTGACTCTCCCATGAAAAAGTCAGTTTTCTATTTTAATTCAATTCAACATCCCTTTTTACTTTGTATAAGTGTTTTTCCGGATTCAACTTCAAACCAGTTGTAACATCTGTCTGGTTCTCTCATTAATAAACTTGAAAAAATTATTAAACATGGATGTATATAAAACTCATGATTTTACCCTTTATGTTTTAACACCAACAAAAACAAGGCAATATTTCTAAAAGAAACCGTATATCTGAGGTTTACTTAAACAAGTTGTAACGTTTTATTCTGAACCAGCTTCTTAATCAAACCAGAAAATTACAGATTTCATTGAAATATAATTTGTTTCATTTAAGATGCATTATGTGAGTAAACCTTACAAATTATATTCCAAGAAACAATCTAATAGGTACTCCCCCAAATCTGCAAAAAGTAACTGCTATGTATTTTAATATGTTCTATTAAATCACATGTAAGACAATGATATCCTCAGAATATTAATTGGAACAAGATAAAGGCTTCTTTTGTCTTTTAAGACATACTACCAGAAGAATCACTTTATGGACAATATCTCAGAAAAACTTTCTGCTTATTACCCAACAACAACAACAAAAAATCACAGATGTGTGCAATTATTATAGTGAGTGTAAGTGAATTTTCCAGAAGGTAACCCAGGCAAAAAAAAAAAAAAAAAATTGTATATATGCATTGGAATGAATGTTGGTCTACCAAATTGTATTGTCATCCCTAAGAACTTTTCCAAATGCGCAAAATGTACTCAAATTCTTAAGTTGAAAATCCTTTGCTTCTTTATGCCTTCTCACCACCCTTGCAACTGATTACCTTGCCTCTACCATAATTGAGCTGTCTGGAGAAGAGGAAGGAGTCAAGGGGGAAGGCACAAGAGCCAGGGGAAAGTTTTGTGGTCATTAATGGTTCCTGGACCACAAGTTTCACTACCTTAAATACCATTTATCCTTTTGTTTAAAGGCAAATCAAAATATTTCATTTGGTCTGTGAAATTCTTATACAGTTTTAAATTTAAAGTGAAATTCATGTTGCAGAAGGAAGAGATGAAGTTAGGGAAAATTTCCTATGGCAATTCAAATACACATGTGTTATTGAAGTTATAGACTGTGTTTCCTAAATAGGTTTTAAAGAGGAGGAAAAAAAAAAAAAAAAAAAAAAAAAAAAAAAAAACAAAAAACTTCTGGGCACCCTGATGACTAGGAAGGCTTGCCTCCTGTTGGTCTATAATCTTAAAGGAAACTATTACATAGATGTTATAATTCATCTTAAAATAATACCCTTTAAGCACTTAGTATTCTAATAGTTAACATAATTTCCAATCCTAAAATAATCTTACAAGTATTAGTTTATATATTTTCACAGGTCGGGAAAATGGACTCAGAAAGTTAAAAACACGACATCACTAACAAGTAAAAAGACAGATTTAGGCCTAGGTCTGTCCAACTTCATAGCCTATTTCTATTATACAATACCATGGTTTGGCAATAAATTTCACTAAGTCTCCAATTCAGACTGCAAACAAGTTTAGTATCTATTATCATATTTACGTAATTTTACTTGGTAATAGAAGGGAAAAAATAAACATGCTCCAAAGATTACAATAGGTCTTTTGCTATCCTGTGTTTATTTTGGTGAAACAAATGGAAACAATTGTCATCTCAAGATGATTTACTCTAAGGGCTATGAAAATCTTATATAGTATATACTAGAAAACAAACCACTTCTGAAACTTTAACACAAAATTGAGTACAATGGACCACATTATACATATCCTATACTTCTCAGAGATTTCTCAGGTATTTTTAATATAACTGTCTTTTAATTTTCATTAAAGTTTCATTCATATCTATAACTGTAATAACTTTAATACATTCTTCTCCAAATACCTCATATCACATTATGGTAGATAACTATAGCAAAAGATATGTTCCAGAACAGTCTCAATCTATAAAGTTCCTACAACCAATCACCATAACATCTTTAGGTCATCATGCACATTTTAAATAATTTGACATTTAAACAGAATTGAATCAAAATTCAGCAAATGAACCACACTACAGTGTTTGTCCCTTCTGTCTAGTCTCAAGTAAAAAGACTTACCCCATGTTCCTTCGCAGCTGTGACAACTTTAAGGAGGACATCTTCTTCAACAAATGGTCTCACTGCATCATGGATAATCACTACTTCTGGCTTAGAGAGTTTAGAGTTGAGCTGATCTTCTGCCAGTGCTTTCAGTCCACTGAAAATTGACCTGTGGCGGGTCACTCCAGCTTCGACCAGTGAGATGCGTTCATGCTGATACTTCTGAATAATACTTTTCATGACTTCCATGTTCTCTCCAGTTACTGCCACAACAATGTCCTTTATCCAACATACTCTAAAAGGAAAGTATGTGTATAATTCATAAGTTAATTCTTAGACAACTAAAGTAACAGAAAATTGAATCACTAATATTGGTATATTTACATAGGGAGATTAAAAGCTGCAAGTGAATAAATCAGTTTTATGTATTTTTATTAGGTCCAGTAAAGAGGTTGATGAAAAAGAATCAGTGAGTGTTTAACACTATAGCTCTAGACAGTGTTTCGTATTATGTAGAATATCCTATATGACACAGTATATGTATATAGTATATAGTACTACCAGATGTCATTTTTTAAATTTGAATAATTAGAATATCAGATTGTATGAAAAATAGCCTATAGTAGGAATATGCTTTTAAATTTTTCCAAATACTTTTCCCTTCAATGAAACAATTCAAAGCACTTTTGACATCCAAAAGTTGACTGTCTCTTTCAAGAATTCCACCGAGATGGCAGCCAACCACTTGAACACCAACAAAGCTGGAAAACTTAGCTAACACAAGCCTTGCTAAATATGTACCTTAAATGGGACCATCATAATTAATATTGTAGCAATAAGGTTTAAGTAAAGTGGAAAAGCTTACAATTCATGAAAGATGATTGTTCTATTGAGTCATATATAAAACATAAAGCCATGTTTCTCTTCTAAAACATGCTCAAGACAGAGTCTCACTCTGTGCCCCATGCTGGAGTACAGTGGCACCATCTCAGTTCACTGCAACCTCCGCCTCCTGGGTTCAAACGATGCTCGTACCCCACCTCCCAAGTAACTGGGATTACAGGCACCTGCCACCACGCCCAGCTAATGTTTGTATTTCTTTTTTAGTAGAGACAGGGTTTCACAATGTTGCCCAGGCTAGCCTTGAACTCCTGACCTCAGGTGACCCACCCACCTTGGCCTCCCAAAGTGTTGGGATTACAGGTGTGAGCCGCTGGGCCCAGCCTGTAAAACATTTTCTTAAAGAAGGACCTACTGACATACTAGACTGCAAGTGGTCCACATTACTGAGTTGCTGCTGCATTAGAGTCTGGTAGACTTGTCTGGAACACCAGTGCAAATGGAGGCAAGTGTCACTGTAGACTCAACATACCACAGCCCAAAAGCCCAGACCAAGACAACTATCTCTGACTCATGATATCAATTCTGAATAAAGAATTAATGTTTAATTCTTAGCCTATGAGATCCTATACTTTTCATGCTAAAACAGTTAAGTCTTTAGAATCTTTTTAAAGACATGGAAGGGCCTGAATATTACTGCAGAAAGATGACCTTTACTGAGAAATGAAAGTGAACATTGGGCTGCTTCACTCAGTAATGTCTCCTACCTCTTGTTATTGAACAGACCCTTTCCACAACCCAAAACCCCATTCTGCCTGTAGCTAAAACAAGACTACCCTGATGAACAAAACCAAGAGCTACTTTAGAGGTGACACTGCCTTTTCATTTGAAGCCCATTTCTTTAATAAATTTTATTGAGCACCAATACATTATCAGCATCAGCTGGGCACGGTGGCTCATGCCTGTAATCCCAGCACTTTGGGAGGCTGAGGCAGGTGGATCACTTGAGATCAAGAGTTCGAGACCAGCCTGGCCAACATGGTGAAACCCGTCTCTACCAAAAAAACAAAAAATTACCTGGGTGTGGTGGCACACAACTGTAATCCCAGCTACTCGAGAGGCTGAGACAGGAGAATCACTTGAACCCAGGAGGTGGAAGTTGAAATGAGCCAAGATCGTGCCACCGTACTCTAGCCTGGGCAACAGAGCAGGACTCTGTCTTCAAAAAAAAAAAAAAAAAAACTTATCGAGGATACAATAGAAATAAACCCTCAGAACTTACAGACACGAAACAAGAACACCAATCAACCATTGCAAGCCATGATCATCACAATGAAGAAGTCCACATTCAGAACAACAAGTAGGCTGAGTAGCTAAACAGTCTGGAGGCGGCTTTGGGGGCGTTCTACAAGGAAAGGGAGTTTGCATTGAGACACAAGGGATGGGTGGCAGGTAAGCAGGCAAAGGAGCTAGGAGAGAGGGAGAGAGGACTGGTCCAAGTAAAGGCCACAGCAAGGTCCTCATGGGCTGAGAGGAAGCGGAGCTGGAGTCCCCCGAACAAGGAGAAGGCCGCATGCAGAGCCTGGAGACCCAGGCAAGAGGTGGGCAGAATCCTAGGGGTTTTAAAAACTTTAATCCTAAAAAGAGGATAGGCAGCCATAGAAAAGCTTTAAGCAGGTGAGTACACTCAGGCCAAAAACCAATACTCACTCATCACTTCTAATAGCAGTTTTTGGTAAACAGAATAATGAACCCAGAAAGATGTGCACTTCCTTACTCATGAAACCTGTGACTGTGTTACCTTAAATGGCAAACAGGACTTTGCAGAGGTGATAAAGGATTTTGAAACAGGGAGATGGTCCTGAATTATCTAGGTGGATCTAATGTAATCACAAGAGTCCTTATAAAGGAAAGGAGGTCACAGGAGAGTCACTGGAGAAGATGTGATGACAGAAGCAGATGTTAGACTATTGCAGGGCCCCAAGCCAAAGAGCATGAGTGGCTTCTAGAATTTTGTTTTTTGAAACAGATTCTCTGTCGCCCAGGCTGGAGTGCAGTGGCGCAATCTTGGCTCACTGCAACCTCTGACTCCCAGGTTCAACAAATTCTCCTGCCTCAGCCTCCCAAGTAACTGGGATTACAGGCAGCTGCCACCACACCTGGCTAAGTTTTGTATTTTCAGTCGAGATGAGGTTTCACCATACTGGCCAGGTTGGTCTCTAACTCCTGACCTCAGGTGATCCACCCACCTCAAACTCCCAAAGTGCTGGGATTATAGGAGTGAGCCCCATCCATGGCCAGCCTCTAGAATTTAGAGAAAGGCAAGGAAATGGATACTACCCCAAATCTTCCAGAAGGAATGCAGTTTTGCCAACACCTTGATGCAGCACAGTGAAACTAAATTGAGACTTCTGACCTCCAAAATTTTAAGAGAATGTGGTTTTAAGCCGTTCAGTTTGTGGTAATTTTTATAGCAGCAATAGGAATCACAAGAGCATAAAGTTTACTCTGACTGCAGGGAGGAGAAAGGATTCAGCAAAGAGAGAAAGGATGCAGAGAGACCAGTTAGGAGGTGGCTGCTGTAATCTGGGCAATGCAATGATGGTCACTTGGGTACCAGGTGGAGCTGGTATATGGCGTTTTAGAGATAGTCTATTCTAGAGGTAACCATCTACATGAGTCAGGAAGAAAAAGTAGCAAAATAAGACAAGTATCACTTAATAATAGGCAATATAAATTAAGCACTATGTCTTAAACATTTTTTATATTTTAACTCTTGTAATCTTTACAATACCTCTACACAATCTCTCATACAAGAGACAAAAAGATCAGAATATACAAAGACGTTACTTTTTTCTATACTACCATCTTATTCTAAAAAAAAAATGAAGCAGTAAGAAATTTTTACCATTTTTCAAAATAATACATCATTTCATTTTATTTCCTCTTCTAGAATTAGGCTCCATCATAGACACAATGTCTGCTTTATCCATTGCCTTACACCTAACTCCTAGTGGGTGCTCAGTACATTATTTGTTGAAAATGACTCTAGTCTGTCTCATCTACCGGGGGCAGTATAACATCTTACAACACAACATAGTCTCAAGGATTATGAAAACAAAGGAGCCTCTCATTACCCCGACTAGCTACAAATATATAAATAAATCTAAGAATGAAAACAGCATTCCCTATGCACTGTGATTTTGTTGATTGTTTTGTTTCTAGGTATTTGACTCTCTGCTCTGATTTCTAGGTCCTAAGGCCCCTCGAGAGCTGAGATTACTTTCATGTTTCACACACCTTGGGAGGATTTTAATCACAATCAAAAATAATTCAATTCAGAACTCCAAAGAACAATCTGTAGTAATCTATACAGGCAATGGAAGTGATTCTGGAATAAGACTAAACATGGGTTGTTCTTTGTTTTGTAGTCCATTTCCTAGGCCTTTCATTGAAAATTTAGCAATTGCAGAACTTACACTGCACTCACAGTTTCAAATTAAAGTTACTAGCAAGTGGTGAGTGACAGTTCTTCAATCCCTCTTCAACGTGAGATTTCCCAAGGTTCTGGCTCCACTGCCACAGCTGTGACCCAGACGGTCATCTCTACCATAATTTACTGCACTAGCCCCTTAGTTGTTCCCTCTTACTCTTCTTATCCCAATACAATCCATTCTCACCACTTCTAGATGATCTTTCTCAAGCACAAATCTGAGGTCATCCCCTGCTGGCTCTTGGGCAAGACCCTTCAAGACCTGACCTCAGCCTACTTCATGCACATCACTTGGTCTCTTCCCTGCCCTCTTACTGTCACACCCAGTGCTCCCTGAAGGGAAGGCAATCTCTCACACTCAGGTACTTGCATGCGCTGCTTACCTGGCCTGTCAACACTGTCCCCATCCCTCTCTCTTCCCTAACTGCCCCACCTCCCTGCCGGCCCTGCCCGAGTCCTACTTACTCATCAGTTCTCAGTTCAGGGATGGCTCCCTCCAGGAAGCTTTCCCTGACTGCCATTCTGCATACAACATCCCCGCTTCTCAGTTTGCAGACTGCTTATACACATAGAGTCTTAAGGACTATACTGCACTCTGTTTATAACTTTATCTTCCTCACTAGGCTGCCAACTCATAGAAAGCAAAAACTATGTCCCAGAACTTACCACATACTCAACTTTCAGTAACATAGTAGAAATAACACCTAAAACATATGGAATGTTTGCTTGGTACTAGGCAATCAATATGTAGACTATTTCGCCTGCAATATCTCAATATCCATATCAGCTCTATAAAGCACATTATCATCATCTCAGCTTTACAGATGAGGACACAGGCAGTAACTTGCCCATAATCACACAGCTCAGAGACTAAGGGACCAAGCTGTGACCTCCAGTCTGACTTTGGAGCCTATAACTTTAGCCTCTGTAAATAATGCATCAACACTGTCTCTGAGAGGAAG